TTTTTGTTAAAATAAGAATGAGACAGTACATGGAACACATCAGAATTATTAAAATAGAAATTTAGATACTATTATGAAGTACAAGGATGTAGGAAAATTGGACTCCTCACTCATGGCTGGTGAGAATGAAATAGAAGGCCACTCACCAGCAATCTCAGAACAGTTAATGTACAAATTCTGTGTATATTTTACTATCCAGCAACCCTATTTCTGGGCATCGATGGACAATCAGATGGGGTCACAAGAAGATGTGTATGAGGATGTTTCTCTCCAAGTTGTTTGAGGTAGCAAAATATCAGAAGTCGGAGTTCATGACTAATAAAATAGACCAAATGAACGCTGTGAAGACACAAGAGCAGTCTACAACAGACATAATGAAATAGATTATCATATAGCAACATAAAAAAATCTCAAAAGCATGTTGAATGAAAAAAATAAGAAACTATAAATCTGACTGCATGGCATGAATTGTTTCTTAAAAACAAACACAAAGCAACATCATTTAAGAATACATATCTTTAATAAACAAATAGAAGATGGATTAAAAAGACAAACATGCCATAATGAATAACTATAGGAGAGGATGAGGGATATCATAAAGGGGAAAAGAAATAATATAGAGAGCTCCCCAGAGAGAGCACAATGATAATGTTGGGACAAACTGAAGAGTAAGTTTAATTAGAGTTTGTGCACCTGGTCTAATGGGGAAAGGGCTGGAAACGGTTAGAAAGAGAAAAAAATAAGAAAACAAAAGAAATAAATCTTTGCCTCTTGATATTGTAAAATTACAAATTACTAATTTTTTTATTTTCCCATAAAACAATTCATATATGAACAATTAAAAATAGAGCATGGAATCCTTACCCAGTTACTACTTTAATCCTATTACTTTAATCCATCTAATGCAAGTTATATATAAAGATGATTCTTTTTTTCTGGCACATAAATTATCATATTTTTTCCACACAAACTGACACTCATTGATTTGTAGTTTCTTATTCTTATATCAAGTCTTGTTCCAAAACTTGTCATTATTAATAATGATGATCAATAAAATTCTTTGAATTATTTACAAGGCTAACCTCAATGTCAAATTATTTATCTCTATCTTCAATTGGAATTCAGTGATTCTAAAACTCTATAACTTTTAACTATTAACACTGCAGTTTTAAATGTGTACATATACAATTTTCTTCTAACCTCTTTTTGTTTCTTTCTGTCTTATATTTAAAGGCTTTTATAGATTTATGCAGGGAATTTAAAAAATATGGAAAAAATGAGAATTATGATACAGATAGTGTTTATAAACTGGTTTTTATGTTTGGTTGGTTGGTTGGTTGTTTATATTTTTTACTTAATAATATGTTGTCAGCTTCTTCCAGTGTCATTATCCTTCCAACATATGATTTAGAAAGTTAGGGTTTTGCCATGATATTTTTTTAACAAATCTACTACTGGACATTTTGATTGTTTTTAGATCTTGCTTCTTCTAAAAGATGCTGCAGTAAATACAAAATGGGTATAGTTTAATTTTTAAAAGGGATGACTAATTTTAAAAGGTGCATGCATTAAAACAACTATGCCCCTAAGAAAACCTGAGAGGGCTCGGATTTCATTTGCTTATATGTCAGATGCTAGTCTTCATCGCTCTGTAAGGACACCAAACTTACTGTAATTTTTAGATTACATAAAACACACTAGACATTTTGTGCAATCAAGTGATAACTGTTTATGTTAAGAATATTATCATTTTGAAAATACTCTCTAAAAACAGTGAAGGAAGGTTGGGGGGAGACATCTTCCCACAGAGAAAAATGAAAAAGCATAACATAATCCAAAACTCTCTGCTCCCTCGCCCACCTTAAATACTGTAACACTTGGGATGAAATACAATAAATAAAAGCATGTTATACGGAGGCATCTGAGATGTAGGTTAGCGTTTATTGCAAAACAAGCCAATCCAATTCAACAAATGCTGACACAAAACACTGAACCGTGTCCTGTAGTGCATGTAAAAGTGAGCAAGATGGAGTCCTTATTTTCAACACATTTATAATCTGACACTGGTGGTAAGAGGGAAAAAGCAACTCTTCTAGGGGATAGATAGAATATACTAATATAACATGCGAGCATTTTTTAAATGAGCCTTGTGTAGGAAAAACTGCACCTGTCAAAAAAAAAAACAGGCTGGGGCCGAGGGGTGTGGGCAGCACAGATATATGGGAAGCAAGAAGAGAGAGCTGAAGGACTTCACACTAAACCCAGAAATGACAACAAAAATGACAACAAAAACAATAGCAAGTAAGAACCCAAGGGAAGCCCTGGTTGGTGTGGCTCAGTGGATTAAGTGCCAGCCTGCGAACCAAGACATTACTGATTCAATTCCCAGTCAGGGCACATGCCTGGGTTGCTGGCCAGTCCCCTGCTGGGGACATATGAGAGGCAACCACCCATTGATGTTTCTCACCCTCTCTTTCTCCCTCCCTTTCCCTCTCTCTAAAAAATAAATTAAAAAAATATGTTTTATAATTTGTTAAAAAGCAAGGGAAAAGGAAAGCAAGTTAGTTTAAGGCCAGATGATGCCACACAGTGAACTATTAGGAGTGAGAGAGGGAAACCACATCGTATTGAGAAAATCATAAATGCCTTCAGGTGAAATATGGCATCTGAAACAGGCGTTGGCATGATGACGGGACATCCAAAGTCCAAGAAAGGGAAACAGATATGGGAGAATCTACATCCCCTAGAACTCTCCACAGAGCCCGTTCCACAGGTAAGATCTACCATGAAACTAACATTTTTCTAACCTAAACCCTCCTGAGACATAAGGGGGCAGAGATGCTCAATATAAACCTTAACCTCCCAGAATTTAGAACACACATCTTAACAAGAGCTAATATCTACCCAACAGATAAAAAGGCACAAAAGGCATGTGTGTTGCCAAAGGGAGTTTCTCAATTGAGGGGCCCTAACAGTTTTTCATCAGTCTGTTTACTAATTTCAGACCTGAGAGTGAAGACTCGAAGTGAGAATGATTTAGTAGAGAAAAATGAGTATTGCTTGGGAAAGAATAAATAAAAGAAGGGAGTGTTTAAACAGATTGTTTCTCAAGTCTGGCTAAGCATCAGAACCATCTGAGCGGACAGTAAAAACTACTCACCCCTGCCCACCCCTCCCTGACACACCTTGGGTGATTCTGATTAAATAGGTTTGAGGTGAAGTATGAGAATCTATGTTTTACAAAACCTCTCTAAGGGATTCCTGTGTGTAGACAGGTTTAGATTCATGATATGATATGAAATCCATGCCCTCCACAAACATACAGAATATTCAGGGGTCCCTGTATATACAAATATATGCATAAAATGTTTCTCAATGAGTAGAAACAAGACAAATATTGTATTTCCCTGGACAAGTCCCTTGACATAAAACTCTTACCTCACTTTTCTCTGAAAAACAAAAGACTTGGAATAGAAAATAATTCAGATCCCTCAGAATTCTAAAAGAACATGATTTTGGTTCTTAAGTGAGATCTTTAAAGAAAAATTAGTTTAAAGATGAAACATCCCATCTGGGCTTATTGAAATATTGTGAAAAGTTTTCAGTTCTAAATCAGTTCCTTATATAGAATTTCCTTTTTTATAATCTTTTTTGTAATGTTCCCATTAAGCACACAGATATGGCATATTTTTAAAGAATTCATATTAATACCAGAATCTGTTTTTCCTAAGTCAGGCAAAACAGCAGCAGTACAATGTACCAACATTACAAAGTACATTGATTTACACAGGGTATAAGAACTTTATTGCTGTTATTTAACCATGTCCTACTGGGCTGGAGGTTGTTTCCTCTACTTGGCTCATGATAGCTTTAGCAGCCACCAGTGCTTCCCTTAGGCAGTGTGCTCCTGTGATCGCTCAGCACCTAGGCAGTTCCTGGCTCACAGAGGGTTAGCAAAAAATATTTATTGAATGACTTCATAAATTCACAGATGTGCAAAAATCTTTCTCTTTGCAAAAGTTTTCACCAACGGCTCCTAAACTGTATATTTCTACTGATAATTTAGTCTCCTGAATATTTTTATATAATTTTTACACTATGGTTTTTTTATATGTGAATAAATAGGTTTGATACCAATTCCCAGTGTGCGTGTGGTAGAAGCGGGAGGGTCCCCACACCAACAACAAGAAATTCTCGGGATGCCAACAGGGAGTCCTATGATTCAACTCCATTATGACACTATCTACTCTGTGATAGCATCAGATTCCACAGGTTAAGTGTTCAGTCTTAAAAGACACCGCACCCCCTTCAGAAGCCACCAGTCACAAGCCCTGGTTGTTACTTGCACTTTTGAGGGCAGGCTATAAATCAGAGGGTCCCACAGCCTCCTTCTTGGATTTGATTAACTTTCTAGAGCAGCACACAGACTCAGAGAAACATTTTATTTACCAAAGTACTGGTTTACTTAAAAAGAATGTAACTCAGGAAGAGCCAGATGAAGGAGATGCATGGGGTGAGGTAGGGGGAAAGGGTGAGGAGCACACACACACGCCTCCCAGCACCTCCACATACTCACCAACCACGAAGCTCTCGGAACCTTGTCCTTTTGAGTTTTTAGGGAGGCCTTATTACATCGTCTCAATTGATTAGATCATTGGCCATTGGTGTTTGAGTCAAGCTCCAGCCCCTCTGTCAGATGACTAGGGTCAGTGGGTACTGAAAGTTCCGCCCCTTTAATCATGTGAAGGGTTCCCCCAGCACCCAGCCCCCATCCTCAGGTACCTAAGGGCTTTCCAATAGTCGTCTCATTGACATAACAAAACACACTTTTATTGCTCTTAATTGGAAGCCTTTCTAGGGCACTTTGCCAGGCCCTGGTTTGAAGACCAAATGTATATTATACATCACTATATCACTATGAGCCTAAGTCAATTTAAGCCTTTCAAGCCACATGCAGCATTAAACTTTAGAAAAGGTTCCTGAGCTGTTCTATTACCTACCTGCAAGTGCTGCTTTTCTGCATGACGTCAGCTCGATGATACCCAGAGAGTTTGCAAAAACCGTCATTACTATAAACTACAGGCCAATCTACAATCTGGGCGTTTCCCAGTAAGAAACTCGATTCTAAAGAAGAAAAAAAAGGAAGTTTTTTAGCTTCATTTGGCAATGTACTTCTTTAACATGCAAATAAATAAAACAAATTTATAAAGATAGATATATGCAACTATGGTGTTCTATGGTATAAATAATAAAACCTATTCTTGAAATTGACATATAATGAGTTTAGCATGACCATCAAATGAGATCTGCATTAAGTACAAGATTTGCATACAAACTACAAACTCCATTGTAGAGAAGCCAGTTTATATAATACCTCTTTCTGTTCAGGTATCAAGGTGACCTACCAATAATTTCATACCTTCTTTAAGCTATGAAAACAAAGTATGGTTAATATTAAATAAATGTTAATGACTAAAATAATTATACCTAAAAACAGGTTAATTTATTGAGATTAGAGCTAATCACTTCTCCACAAAATGAGAATATTAGATTTGATTACAGAAGCAAATGTGAATGACTCCTCCAAAAAGTTCTATTAATATAATTTTGGACATGATGGAATAAATTTGATTGATCTTAAGAAGTCTAATTTAAAATAACATTGTAGAGTTCCTTTATAAAATAAAATTATTCAGAGACATTATTTTCAACCACATGCTACAAAATTTGGAAACTATCTTTAGTCTAAATAAAGAAACATTTCTGGTCTATTTTATATAAAGATGTGGTTCTGTTTTATGTATAAAAATTAATACAAAATAATCTTTTGGTATCAACCTTGATTGAACATCCAATAGGTCTAGGCAATAACTTGAGCAATATTTATATAGTATGATAAATATGTTAACATTAAAATTAATTAAAATTAAAATATAAAAATAAAAAATATTTTTCAAATAAATATTTTAAAAGAGTACATTTTTTTTTAAAAATACTATACTTCAAAATACTCAAAATATCTACCTAAAATAATCTCCTTTGAACTTACATTCAAAGTAGTGTACTAAAAAGATTAACCCATGAGTAGAAAACTTTAAGTTTAAATTCTGGTCTTCATAAAAATCACCATGCAATTCAACACTTACTAAGTAGCCACTAAGTAAAGGGCACTACTCTGGGTCAGACAATGGGCTACAATAAAGGTCAACATAGCACACCCTTTACTCTCAAAACACACATTAAGAAAAACAATTACATAATCAATTACAATTTAGCAGGATATTAAATCAAGAATCATAGTACAAAAGAAGGGGGGAAATCTCCTTCAAGGCACTAAAAACCAAACAAAAGTGAGCAGAAACTGAAAAGTACAAACCCTTGAATAAAAGGAGTTTTATTAAATGAGATAGTCATCTAACCGTCCATTCCCCTGTGAGCCCTTCCCAATTTGTACAGTTCATGGGTGACAGAATTCAAGCAGAAAAGTCAAAGGTCACAATCTGGGGCTGCCAGAGCAGCTTAAAGTTAAAGGAGGAGATGCTTTGACATATAGAGCCATAAACCTCTATAGAATCCATTTCAAATCCCTACCTGTGACCTTAAACTGTGCATACACAAGATAAGACTACAAAGAAACTCATCAAGTCTAGAAATTACTAGAAGGCTAAGAGGCAGGCAGAAATTTCACCACCTCCCCAAGGCTACAAGATAAATTTCAGAGTTCAAGTCCTATCAAGCTCAAGAAACTTGGTAAATTTCTCAAGATTTCCATGTTTTGGGAGTAAGAAATAAGTCCCAGGATAAAGGTTTACGACCTAGAAATAAAATCAAAAACGTAGAACTCTCTCTCTCTCTCTCTTTTCTCTCTCTCTCTCTCTCTCTCTCTCTCTCTCACTCTCTCTCACACACACACACACACACACACACACACACACGGCTAAAATTGCAATCAAGGTGACCCACCAATAATTTAACTACCTGCTAAAATAAAATGTACCCTTCTTCAAAGGAAAATAATAAAATCCAAACTCTCCACAATGTATCAACCCAATGTCCAGTATACAATTAAAAAGTTATTAGACATTAAAAAAAGAGAAGTGTGACAACAATCAAGGGAAAAACAAGTAATAAAGAGGTCAATACTGGGAAGATAGAAATAAATGATACAACCTCTGAAATAAAAAAAAAATTCATTGAACAGATTTAAAAGTAAATTAGACCATTAAAAAAAGGCCAAATTAAAAAACATATTGATAAAAGTTATTGCATACTGAAGAAAAAAAGAGTAACAGATTAAAAAGATGACCTGCGGGACAATAACAAGCAGTCTAAAATATATGTAGTTTAGTCTAGGGAAAAAAATGACCAAGTAAGGCACAAATGTCATTTGGATAAAAATGACTAAAATTTTTCCAAATAACATAAAAAATAACCCACAGATCTTAGCTCAAGGAAGAGTTCAAGGAAGATAAACACAAACAAAGCCACGGTAGGAAGATAACACTAAAACTGCTGAAAATAAAAAGTTAGGAAAAAAAGATACAGAGCCTCACATAAATGGTCAACTGTTCTTTTTTTTACAAAGACGCAAGGCAGTTTAAAGAGTAAAAAAAGTCTTTCAATGAACTGTGCTAAAACAACTAGATACCCACATAAGCAATAATTGAACTATGACCTCTACCTCACACCACACACACACAGACACACAAATAAAAAAATTTTAAGGGGTAATTGACCTGAACACAAAAATGAAAACTAAAAAGAAATCATAGTAGGAAATCTTTGCAACTTTGAGGAAGCCAGAAACTTCTTAGATAAGACCCATACAGTAATCACCATAAAAGCATATGTGGATAAGTATATTAGACATCCTCAAAATTAAAATCAATTGCTCATTCAAAAATACTGTAAAAATAATAAAATGAAACCCACAGACTAAGAGAAAATATTCACAATACAGGCATCTGATAGAGAACGCCTAACCAGAATATGCAAAAAAATCTTACAAAAGGACAAATGACCCAATTAACAAAATGAGCAAATGATTTGAAGACATTTCACGAAGGAAAATAAACAATGGCCAATAAGCACAAAGAGATGCTCACATCACTATGCATCGGGGAAATACAAACTAAAAGCACAATGATATGATATATCACTGGTCAACCACTATATTGGTTACATCAACAGTACAAAATGTTGATGAAAATGTGGAACAATTCAAACTCTTCATAAAATCTAGTGCAAATATAAAATGGCATGATCACTTTGGAAAGCAATTTCTTTGGGAAATATCAATTATGACCCAGAAATTTCACCCCTAGGCATTTACTCAAGTGAAAATAAAAACATATGTTTAAAAAAACTTGTAGAAAATTTTTCATATCATATTTATTCTTAGGAACCAAAAAATGAAAATAATGCAAATGTCCATCAACAAGAAAATGGATTAAAAATTGTGGTATATTCTTACTCCTATTCAATTATAGGATAGTAGAGGGACTGACAGGAAAAAGACAAAAAGAATTTTCTGAGTAAAGTCATTGTTCTTTATCTTTAAAAAGGTATAAGTTACATAGGTATATACATTTGACAAAGCTAACTGAACTGTACACTTCAGATCTATGTGTTTTACCTCATATAAATTACACCTTAACTTTAAAACAAAACACAAGGAAGACAAAGGACCACAGAATCAGAAGTTTGAGAAAAACAATGTCATTTGAACTGAAACTTAACTATAAGAATAGTAATACCACTCTTCCTTGGTACATAAGGTGATCAGAGTAGAAAATGAAATGAGCTTATTTCTACAAAAATGCTTCATAAAATATGAATTTCTCTATAAATACATGATATTTTCTTTTATGCATAGCATTGATTATAAATATTTGTAATATGATCACCAAAAATTATCTTCTTTCTCATTTTAGCCCATGCCAGGTTCATGACTAGGTAACTGTGGCAGTCCATACAGCTAGCAACAGGATCCCCCTCCTTCAACTCATCCTGATTTTCAGACTAATGTTCACTTGTCCCCATGAAACCCTGCCTCCACCCTACCATTCTTTATATAAATCGAGACCCCCAACTGGTTACCCTGACAAATCCTCTCTCAGACTTACAAAGCCCTCTGAAATCCAGCCTCACCCTTCCTGCCTAAACAAACATATTTCTCACTACTCTTAAAGTCCATATTACTAAATTTAGGCCAGTTTCCTCATTATGCCCCCAATGATGCCCACTATCCATCTGAAGCACTTCCTCCATCCCTTTGCCTCTCCAAATTTTTAAGAACCAGCTCAACTCCACCTTCTCTATGACACATTCACTGAGTACCACTCAGCCCACATGCCCCTCTGGCTACTACCATTTCTGTCTCCAACCCTTCACGGGACAAACTTACCATAAAACTTGTCTGCTCTCACCGGTTCCATCTACTCAGCTCCTATTCACTCAGCTCACTCCTTTCTTGCTTTAGTCTTTCCGACTCCAAGACACTCAAGATCACCAATAACCTCCTCAGATCATCAAATCCAAATGATGCTTTTTACATATTTCACTTGACAATCCAGAGCTTGGTAGCCACTCCCTCTTTTAAAATATCTCAATCATTAGCTTTCACAGAACAATGTTCCCCTGTTTCTTCAGACACACCTCCATTTCCTTTGCAACCTCAACATTCATTATCCAGTGGGTATATATTAGAATTCCTCCATGTCAGCACCTCTTCAACTTTTACCTATCGCCTAGATTCAGTAACTCAACATTTTATATTGCCAAATCAGACCCCTTCTATAAACTCGAGATCTTGATATCCAAGCTAACCTCTCCTCTTAGACATCTTAAGTGGACCGCAGCAGAACATGCCCATGACGTTCTTCACCCTAAATCAGGTACTTTTCCAGTGTTTCCTGTCTTGGAGAATGGAATCACTCTGCATGTAATTATGTAAGCCAGAAATCTGGGAGCCATCCTTCAACATCCTTCTCATTACCCCTATAACTAATCCACTTCCAAATCTTATTAATTTTATCTCTACATTCTTTCAAATATTTCCATTTCTCTTGATCCTCACCATCATCTCCCAACTCCAAGTTCCCCTCATCTCTTCCCTGGACAAC